GCTCCTGCTATTCTCCTACGACGTGACCCTGGCATCCAAATACAATCTTTTTCCTTTCTGAATGCAGCTCAACGCCACAAATAGGAGTTCTCGGGCATGTATATTTTGTGCATATAAATCCAACAACGATTTGCATAAATAGATGCATACTATCTGATGTACGTGCAAAATCAGACATTGCAGCTGAAAAATCTGGCCATTAAACTATTCTGTTAGGTTCACACATTTCCAGAGGAATGAGACACGTAAATCCACTGACTGCATCTTTTGCTATTGAGTAGATTTAATAGCATTGTGTTAACACCTAGAGATGTTAGCAAAGAACTGAGACCTCATTGTATTAAGCTCTGTAGACAGAAATAATGAAAAGATTGTTCCTACCCCACCAATTTACAGACTTAATGGATTATGGGGTTTATTTTGTTTTTAAACAAGTATTTCTGAGTTTGTTGTATAACATCAAATAAATCCTATCATTGTATTGAATTTAGTGTATACCCTTTTTTATGAAGTGCTTTCACAAATGCAGAAGTGATCAAGTGACACTGTCATAGCAAAAAAAAAAAATATGTTTTATATATATAAAATCTAAATCTGCTCCTTTTATTTTTATCCTAAATTTCAAAGTTTGGAAGTAATTTGTTCCAAGTTGAAGGGCAGCTGCTGTTGTTGCTATTTAAATAAAACTGCAAGTACTCTGGAGACTTCTGGGGATATTTTGGATTTGTGCGACTACAGTGTGGATATTTCCTTGTGAATACCTATGGCCAGTTATTTTGACTCTTGCTGGACTACAGCTGTTGCTATGCATGTGCTCGCTCTGTTTGATAACTTTGTTAATATGACAAGTTCTACAAGTATTGTCAAAATAAGTCTGACACCACAACAGATTGTGAAGAAAAGGCAGAGCAGTAGTGAAAAAAAAATAGAATTCTTCAACATGTTTACAGTTGATTTCTAATCTGATGGCAAATTGATTTTTTCCCAAACTAGTTTGCCATCCCTCTTTTCTAAGCTGTGGTAACTGATTCTGTACTTGGGGAACAAGTCTGCAAATGGAGTGCGTATGCTTTCCACTTATGTTTCTAATAACAGTGGCCTATGTGAGACATCGGGTACCTTCCCAAACTGAGGTGTTTCCAAAGGATCAGAGGAGAACACAAATCCAGTGTTTAGACAATGGAAATCACTGGTTTGCATGTGTGGTTGTTTTCACTCCACCATTTTCATTCAACTCTTGACACTCCGATTAATTCTGGAAGGAATTAAAGTTTTGCTAACTGATTAGCTACTATTTCAACTACCTCCTTGTTTAGAAGCACTTAACATGAAGGGCTTATAAAATACCTTCCTTCAGATCCTTAAGGAAAATTAAAATATGCCATTTACATATTTGTACTTACTGAATTTTTCACAAACTTTTGCATTTAAGCATATAGGTCTGAGCTGGGCCTGAACACATTTGGGAGAGTTATCTTCAGATTCTCACTTCACTTTGAGTCTGCTGGGAGACTGGTTATGAATTGATATTCTTGCATAAAAAGGAAATAGGAAGCTCTACTCTCTAACATACAAACGCTACAAAATGTGGATTTGGCTGGATGAAGACATTTAAGAGCTTACACATGCACAGTAAATCAACTTGCTAAACACCTCAAGAGCAAAACTGCTGATCCTAAGAGCCAACTTGCTACACTGCACAACACTCGAGAGAATAAAAGGCTCATAGATGAGACATCTACAGAACTGACTGTGCCAAGATAATGAGGAGCGTGGTGTACACAAGGGATTTTTCTCTCCTTGATGCACACATGTAATTCCTATTGACAGCAGTGGGAGTTACACGTACATATCAAGGGGACAATAGAACCCTTCGTGGTGGAGATGAGTATCAGATGTGAGCTGTGTTACCACAGATAGAAAATGAGAGAGAGGGAGGTGTGATCACTGAGGGACAGTACAACATACAATAAAATTGTCAAGCAGCCATCAAATATGTGAAAGCATGGGAATAACAAATTAAATGGACAGGAGGTGAGAAAACAAAGTCTCAAGAGACTTTTGCCTTCCTAGCTTGGGGCTGGTATCTGAATTCCTTATTAGGAAATATTCCTGCTGGCTTAACCTGTTAATTCTCTGATAAGTAAATGTTTCGCGGAACTTGAATAAACAGTTACGGCCTAGCTGCTAAGGATAAGAAGTGGTTTTATTGAAAAGCCTAGCAAACAAGGAGTAAATTAAATTAATACAGTGTGCAGCCCACACCTTAGGTTTCTTCTGTATGATCTGGTGATTTTTGCTACTTCTAGGAGATAGCTAGCTGACTGGTGATTTAAAAAGTCATTATTACTAATTTTGGTTCATGTCAAAAGTAGTAACAAAAGAAGGAATATACACAGAGCCAGAGAACAAAATGATTCTGGATTGATAGGTAATGGCAAATTATGAGTTTATGTCAGCAGTTCAAACCTGAAGTGAATGAAAAATGCCTTCAGATTTAATCCACATTTGGGATCTTTTTAGATGTGTAGGAAAGGTGGGACAGGATGGAACCAAACAGTAAACTGAAAGGTGAATCAAAGCTGTGGAGAAATTAATTATCTGGAGAAAAACATAAGCACCTACCAAATCTAGACAGAAACTGACAGAAGAAACAAAGGATGCTCCTGAGTAGGAAGACCACAGCCACAGAGGGAAAATAACTAACAGTAAAAGCCAGACTTATGTAATTTTTTAAAGCAACAGCAAATCACTGGAACTACACGAATGGTTGAGCACAGCTCAGAATTCTGGATTACTTACGATCTGGCTCAAGTACAAAATCTAAAGGCAAAATGATGAGTCACAGAGCAGAAAGTGACTTGAAGAAAGAATCCACAGGAAAAAGCAGCGCCAAACAGGAATGAAAAATGCATTAATCTAAGCTGATTCTGTACCACCCTGCAGGTGCTACCTGTGTGCTGGGATGGTGAGAAAGATACAACGATCTTCCTGCCTAAACAGAACTTCCGAAGTCACATTTTCAACCTGACAGACATGCTGCAATGCCACAGAATTTGAACTTTCTCTCTTTTACACTATCTACTCATCAGTACATTGTGGCTCCTATCGATTCTCCTTCCGAGTTGGTAATGTGAATGGCAATGAGTAAAATACAACTTCAGGGGCCCTATACAAAACCTTCCTGCTCAGTTAATTACACTGACCAAGGGAGGCCAACTTCAGTGTAGTCTGACCTCCAATTATGAGACACGCTGTGGTCTCCTCACTGAACTATGCAAGCATTAATGGCAGCATGCCAGCAATGGCTATATTAAAATCAATTTAAAAATCCCAATTCTACATCTCTTTCACCTTAGGTGAAGTAACACACCTTATACTAATGTAACTCTTATTAAAATATTGTAAAACAAAATTGACCTATGCAAAATAGTAAAATTTCTACCTTTTTCTGATTCATTTATTGTAGTCTTTCAAAAATGAAGAAAAAAAGGGCAAAAGTAGACTGAGAGGTTTAATAGGTCTGTACCTTTACAGTGGACTGCAGTTTAAAGCAGCGGTATTAAAAAAAAAGAAGAAGGCAGAATTAGTTTTGTTCTCAGAAGATACAGTGAGAGCCTATTTATGTCAATATGCCCCTTGTAACAGCTTCAGAAAAGTGACGTCTCTGGTTCATGGGTACACCTGTGTGCCTCAGACACAGAGAGTCACCGAGGGGAACACACTGCAAGAGATCCCACACACAGCAGGCAGCCAGCTCCCCAGGCTGCTCCGTGATGCAACGTTTTGTATTCACGTAAACAGTGAAACCCCACCAGATTTAGTAAAAAAAAAAAAAAAAAAAAAAATGTGGAAGCCAATTAGCA